GTATTCATTATCTTTCATCTTCACCCTCATTACTAACCGAAAAACAAGCTGCTAATACTCACCCCTGTCTTGAGATCGACAGAAAACCAGTTCGGCACATAGACCATCTTGAACCTCTTTTTAATTTCTTCATCAAAGTCCACTTTACCCAGGTCTTCCCCCTTACATGCCTACAGAACACAGAGTGAGATTAAATAAGAACTGGCTTTAGGACGCCACAAAAGCTTTTCATGATCTGCTCTTACCTTGAGGACATCCCAGAACGCCACACTGTTATTGGAGTCTTTGGTAAGTATGTGCCTCTTATCATTGAGAATATGACACTGAACGATGTTGGTGCCACCTGAAATTGAATTCAAGCTCTCAGTCAAAGATTAAATCAATTATAGAGAACAGACGAGCACATTTTGATCAAGTGAGATTAGTAATCAGTCCTTCTACCCAAAGCAACAAGTTCCTTACAGTTTGCTTATGGCTCATTCAGGGATGAAACCAGCAACCTTATGGTTACCATCCCTGAGTTTTAAACCAATAGGCAACACCGATCTGACACTCAGGTGCCTGCTCTAGCAGATCATTTACCTTTGATGACCTGCTCTGGCTGTGTACACAGTGGAGTTAAAGGGGCAATACAGTCGTTGTCATAGTCTCCGGATGCTCTGAAGTTCTGCATGCCTTTTAGAGACTGAGATTGACAAATAAACAAATACAGACAGATATGAGCTGAAGGAACGTTTTCATTCAGTTTAATATATAGTTCAGTCATGAAACTCTAGATGGTGCAGGCTGATGGGTTGTTAATGTAACTGATGATATTCATAGAGATAAACGACTTGGCACAAGCTGATTGGTTCATACTGCATATGCAGCCAATGAGCTTACTGCCTTGCATTTATATGGCTGGCTAATGAAATGCATTTTAATTGTACATATAACACTACTGTGTATAAATCTCTGAAACGTAACTTACCCATTTGTTTACAAATGATTTAGTTGTGGACACCCAGATTGCTTGAGGAGGATCAGCTGATTTGTCCAATTCCATCTGCACAGAGAAAACATCATATATAAGAGCAGCTTTCTTAAAGGACTGAACACTTACATTTAACAATGACTTCATTTCTATATTTTCAAACACGAAGCAGCTCAAGCTTACCTTCAGGATGGGAGCTTTCTCTTCACATACGAGCACACGCAAGTCAGGGTTACGCAGATCCGTACAGTAGATTTTTCGGTCACGTCCGCCAGAATAGATGTGCGTGAAGGCCTCGTTCACCTGCAGGGCCCACACGCCCTCATCGTGGACCCGGTATGTGGCGATGCATCTCTGCTGACCGAGAGACCACAAGCGTATCGTACCATCTGAGCTGCCAGAGAGACACTAGACAGAGAAACAATGCAGGTTTAACATGTGTATTTGATGAAAAACCTCAAAGTTAGAGTAACTATGGCTGTGTTCAGACAGGTAAAAAAATATCAGATTTTCTGGCATATCTGAAGCAAATCTATTTAGCTGTTTGAAAAGCAAAAAAAACCCCAGACGAAAGCTGATGTTTACAAACATTATCCAAATCACATTCATAATAAAATAAGATTTTTTGCATCTCAGTTCGAAAAGCCGGATTCCAAAGATATTTTCTCATAGTTTGGGATGTCATGCACATGTGATATACAAAATTTGCAATTATTTCTGGAGCTGTGTTGAAGTCCTACCTGAGTGCCGTCTCTGTTTAACAATAATGATTTTACGTTGTCAGAGTGGCCTTTCAGCTTCATTAGCTTAGCACATGTCCGTGGATCCCAGACCCTCAGGACCTGACAAAATATAAAAAAACAATCAAAACCTTTTTATTTGAACCTGCAGTTGAAATGACAATTTTCCTTCCTTGAAACCTAAAACCACAAAACTGTGAGACGAACCTTCTCTGTAGATCCTGAGATGATCACAGTTCCTGTCTGATTCATGGCCAGACTGTAGATGGAGTCCTTGTTTCCACTCAGTGAGGAAGCTATCACAGAAATGATGGATGCAATCAGGGTTATTATACTTAACTAATTTAAAAAAAAATAAACAGATAACATTTTGAAATAAAATAAATGTTAACTGAAATAAAATATACAAAAACCTAAACTTATTTAAGCTAGCTACCGAGGCAACATTTCATTTTCTTTCAGTTTAACTTGATGTACTTAAGTAAAACTAAAAAAAAAAACCTATTTCTTTCAGTTTAACTTGATGTACTTAAGTAAAACTAAAAAAAAAAAACCTATATAGACATATTAAAAAAAACAATAACTAATACAAATGTCAAAAAGACACAAGAAATTTACTAAAACTTTAACTACAACTAAAATAAAAAAAAATTCCAACTTTTAATAAAACCTCTAACAGTATCTCAACGATACTATAATAACACTGGATGCAGTGCTGCATTCACTTCGGAAGAAATGGGTTTTCATAATCATCTGCTTAATTACATGCTTCAACCCTAACTCGATGACTCAGAAGGAAGACAGTGTCAGACAGAATGATTAAGGGAGTTTACTCACTGGTGACTGTATTATTAGAGGCAGTCAGAGCCGTCAGTGTGTTCACATCCCACAGGAAGATCTGCCTGTCCAGCCCGGCTGATGCCACCAGCTCCTTTTCCTTTGCATATGCTAAAGCTTTGACGTAGTCCTGAAGAGTGAATCAAAATCACTTTGTCTCATAATCATATTGCACACAAAATGGCAAGAATTTTCTCAAAATTTCAAGCTTTAATCTGTTTTCTATGCAAATTCCTGGAGCTGTTAAATGACCAATTTTTGTGTCAATAGTCAAATGTCTGGCAATGCAAGACTGCCATCAGAATAACCCTTATGCATGAAAATTCTAAACAAAATTAAAACAACAAACTAAGATGAATATAATAAGAAACGTACCTTATGTGTCCGTAACGTGGACATGCAGAACCCTTTGTGTGCATTCCAGACTTTCACAGTGGTGTCCGAGGAGGCTGATATCACTGCAACACAGAACAATCCACCGAAACTGGCTAAAGCTCAGAATATATTTGATGAGATTTGAGCATGAAGTTTCTGTAAAAGGCGCTTAGACGTACATGTTTTTCCATTACAACAGAGGATGATGTCATTCACCCAGTCCGTGTGATGCTCCATTGAAGCGATGTAAGGATCCTGCTGCAGTAAACGGCTGTTAGTTGGACTTATCAGAAACATTTAACCACAGAGAGACAGAATGGGGATAAAATACGCCTTTGAGGGAGATACAAAGTTAACACTGTTGCTCAAAATGGAAAGTGTGGTTGCACAGTAACAAAACATGGGACCAAGGGCATTAATATTCATAAATCATGAAAAATGCAGGTTGTACTTTGTGTTGATTGACACTCCATATCCTGACGATGGAATCTCGGCCGGCTGTGAAGAGTCTGTTGAGAGCAGGATCCAGCTGAAGAGCATTCACACCGTTACGATTGTACTTCTCCACCTCATCTCTAATCACGTAGGAAACCTGTAAACACATCATTATTAATAACTTCAGTTTATTAGACAATCAGAGACTACCTACAGTCTACTAAACTACCAATTTACTACAGATATAGAAAAAGTAGGTTATATGTGTCTTGCAAATCTCCATTAAGTGTATAACATTTAATTTTAAGGCTATACAACATCTATGCAATGGTATAACGTTATTGTTTTAATCTAATGAACCTATTCAATAAGCAGCAGACAATTGTACTAAAACAACAAATTTAAGTACATGAATATAAACCTATATAGTGGTCCAAAAAGCATTTGGACACATTTAAATATGACTAAATGCCATTGCGTTTGCGTTACATATTACCGCTGTACTATAGTAACACCACAGTAATTCTTGTAAGGGTGGTAATGTTTCGGTTGGTAAATAAATATTATGGACGCTATATTGTCAACACTTTCCTGAAACAAGTAAACGTATTATAAATTCACTAATACATGGTTTTAAAGTTACGAAACATTTTCTGTAAATTATTACCTGGACTTTCCTCCGTCCCGCAGCGTTCTGCCTGTGATGCGTCGCCATCTTGCATGTTGACAATCAGGGAATGAGTCACTTCCGGAAGAGAGCTGGCGTTTGTTGGGCCTGTCGAGATCTGTCACTAGAGGTCGCTATTGAGTACATTTGCATTGTTCACTGATAGCTGACTGGATTTTTGCGGAAATGGACATCTTAAGATTTCAGACCCTTAAGATACCGATTTGAAATCTAAAATAGTTCAAATGGCATCAAATTGCACATGACATAACACAAGTTCAAATATATTAAAAAAATATATAATAGCCATCCAGAGTAGATGTAAGATACAAGCAACATTGTCCAATATGAAATTAACAGACTAATGTATCTATTGAATTCCAGTCAGTGCAAGAAAATTACAGTGCATCATCACATCCACCAATTTTCTAGAATTAATCAGATCTAAAAAAAAAAAAGTCACAAAAAAAACAAAAAACATCTGTTCTCACCCTGTTGAAAAAAACAGCATATGCTGGTTAAGTATGTTTTGATGCTGGGATGCTGGTTTAAGCTGGTCCTTTCCTGGTTTAAGCTGGTCCTTTGCTGGTTTATGCTGGTCCTTTGCCAACACATGACCAACATAAACCAGCAAAGGACCAGCATAAACCAGCAAAGGACCAGCTTAAACCAGCATCCCAGTGTCAAAACATACCTAACCAGCATATGCTGTTTTTTTCAACAGGGCAATTTATTTTTGTAAGCTGAGGATTCTTTTTTTTTTGACTTAGTAAATCATTAAACATTTCCCACTGGCAGTCAACATGTTTGTCTCTCTAAACTTTGATAGTACTGATCCATATGCGGTAATCCCGGGGGAAGTTAGTTCATTAATGAACTAACTTTTTACTTAGTCTTCATACCTCTGTTATGCATAGGTATATGTAAGTTATGCGCTAAAAAACAAAAACAAACTTTAGTTCATTCACCCAGCTTTATTCAGAATTTAAATCATCACACAGTTTAATAAAACCTAGAACTACAATATGTCTGTGATAACCATGTACAAATCAAAAATATTCTATTATGTAGGTACTATAAAAGCTTTCTAAAGATTAAAGTGGTTAACAATTATGGTGCATTTTCATCTCTGGTAAGCAAAACGATGTGGTTGGGGTTTTTTTTTTTTTTTTTACATGTTGACTCTTGGTTTTCATCCAGAGTAGATATAAGATACTACAACATTATAAAACAACAACAAAAACAGTAAATCAAATTTAGATTGTACATCACAGTCAAATGTATCTGTTGTATTTCAGTCAGTGCTAGAGCATTACATTGCATCATCACATCCACCAATTTCCTAGCATGGATCAGAAGATCTAATAAGTCACAAAAAGTCACAAAAAAATCTAAGAAGTCACAGAAAATCAAAGAAGTCACAAAAATAAAAGAACATCAACAATTTTGACTGAGTAAATTATGAAACATTTCCCACTGGCTTTAACAGTCATGTTTGTCTCCCTGTACTTTGATAGTACTGATCAACGCATCTAAAGTGCATCTAAATGAAAAGCTCAGCAGTGTTTATAACAAAACTATCACATAAAAGCACAATGTACTGCATATATCAGTTCGGAAACAGTGTTGTGTGAAACAGGATGTACAAATATAATCTTTAATCAGGGAGCTGACAAGAGTGCCATTTGTTTAATTTCCCATTACATGTATTTATCCAAACTCTCCAGAGCTTCCTTTTTTGTGTATTGTTTCCATTCATCTGGAATCTCACCACACCCCTGGAATGTCTTACTGTAGTACGTTTCCAGATCTTCCTGGAATCTGCACACAAACCACTTCCAGTACGGCAGCTCAGAGTTGTCAGGCGTGATACTCCAGTTAGCATATTTAGGACCTCCTCTTCTGTATTCTTTCCAGGGGACTTTATCATCTGAGGAATTTGGGTAAAAGGATCGATCACTCGATACTGCTGTTGTGCAGATATCAATAGCCAGGTTTGTTGTTCCTCTGTAAAACCACCCATTCAGTCCAATATTACGGTGGAAAGGAACGCAGTGATCTCCAGGATGGTCTTCCATTGTGTTGGTGCAGATGGCTTTACAGAAAGGACACTGAACCCAACAGCACTGACAGAAGTGCTCAATCAAAATTTCATCTGGTCTTTTCCTGCACTTCTCCAATTGTATGTCATTAATATTTTTAAAACTGTTCTGTAGGTTTGTCATCCTCTCCTCTAGACTGTCATTCAAAAAGGTCTCAAGAAAATCCAAGTCTTTAATTTCACTAAGATCACCACATGAGTTCTCTCTGAGTTTCAGCTCATCTGTCAGGGCTGTGGTGAAGCATCTAAACCACATGCTACCATCTCCATTCCGACTCTTGACCTTCACTGTTGTGGCTTTCATTGCATTACATACAATCTGCTCCTTTTGTTTTAGATTTCCTTTGAAAATATTTAGAATCATTTCATTTTGGTTGGTGAAGTAACTTTTCACTTCGTTCTTTATGAATTGTTTGAAGTGTTCTGTGGGATTATGAATGTATTCTTTGTACTCCTCAAAGTCCTCCTTTTCTGCAAGGGATCTCAGAATGTGTTTCTCCAGATTGGGTCTGTTCTCACGTAAAGCTTTTATGTCAGACCTCATCTGTGTGGCCAAATCATTAGCAGTTTTGTTGTAAACTGCTTGTAGAATAGATGGTTCAAGTTTGCTGCAAATTAATTCACTCAGTATAGTTGTTGTTGTTGCTCCTTTGTAGTAGTTCTTGAAGATGTTCCAATACTGAGTTTTCTGCTTATTAAGATAAAGTCTTGGGTCATTTGTTTCTCTGAATTCTTTGTGGAGTTCAGTAAAAGTCTGTCTGGCAATCTCACACACATGGAGACTCAGATCTATGGTAAACTCCCTTTTCAATATGTATTTTTGGCTCACGGATTGATGTTTCTGTACTGATTTTTTAACACAGTCTGTTATTTCCTGAATGTAACTCTCATTGTAGCCTCGTGTTCCAACTGGTGACTTCTTCATTATCCTTTTAGTTTCCTGAATAATTTTGAGAGTCAGATCCCTTATTGAGTAATGAAATTCAGCATTTAGGCCCATGTTCTCTTGTGGCTTTGGAGTCCATCTAAAATATCCTATGCCTGACATAATTTTTTGACCAAACCAACCGAACATCCCACACTTGCTTTTCTTAGAGCTCTCGGTAGCTTCCGCTGAAGATGCCGTTTCATCAGAGCACTCCAAATGCTTCTTTAGTATCATGTAGTCACAATAATCACTCCGGCGGTCTATCAGTTTGTAGACTTTTTGTTTTAAGCGCTCATCTACAAGAGTCAGTTCATGGCTCATTTCAGATAATATCTGTGTCACATCTTCCCAAAAGTTAATGTCTGCCAGTGGAGGTATGTCTTTGGTCATTTCAGTGACCCATTTACTCCACATTGTGTCAAACTCCTTCTTAAGCATATGTTCATCTGTTCCTGTATTTCTCAGGCTCAAAGCTAGCTCCTTGCTCCGACTGAAAAGCTTGTTTTCATACTCTGTCCTTCTTTGATCCAGCTGCTCCCTGGCTTTTTTCTGTTCAATCGCTTCATCTAACTTTCGTTTTGTTCCCTTCACAAGGTCATCATGAAGCTCTTTGATTCTGGTTTCAAATCTTCCTCGCCATTGACACAGAATGTCTTTGTCTTTGTCCTCCTCAAAGTAAGACATGATTGATTTTTCTACCTGCTCCTTTGTCATCCTCATGTCAGCCAACAAGTCATTTTCCTGAACCTTAATGCTTCCATTAGCAATTCTGTTGTAGAATTTGTCTTCAATGCCGATCATGGCACTTCTGAGGCTAAACGTCCAGTCGCTGTACTTAGTTTCTAGTTTTCTGTATACCGCAATCTCAAGTGTGTTTTTGAAGCTGAACACAAAGTTTTCATTCAGCAGTGCACTCCACAGATCATTAATACGCGTTCTGAACTGAGACAGTGTAATGCCATTAGATTTGGAAGCTTTTGAGAGAATGGTGTCTTTCAGCTCCTGAATATTTCTGCTGTAGTCAGGGTTTGGTGGTGCCATTGGTGGGCTGCCTTCCCAGAGCTGTGCAAAATACTTCACATCATTCTGAACGTCAAATGCAATGATGTCACTGAAAAACTCTGTATCACAATCTTCCTCTTTAGCGGCAAGTTTCGTCATCTCATCCAGTTTCTCCTGCAGTCGTCTCCTTCCCTCCATGTTTTTCTCTCCAGCTGTAATATCTGAAACGTTCTGATGCACAAACATGCAGCTTGGATTCAGTCTGAACTTCTTCATCCTCATGAAGGCCTGAACGACAATCTGAAGAATGTCCTGCATCTCAGCTGTGTTTTCTCCAAAGATGTTGATCAATGTCATATTTCCGAGACCAACCACAAATGTGGCCATTTCATTGTCATGATTTCTTGTTGACCTTCCAGCCAGTTCTAGGGCACGAAGTCCCTCAGTATCAACAACTAGAATGTAGTCAAACTTCAGCTGTGCTTTCATCTCCTCCGACACTCTGACCAGCTGCATGAAAGCTCCTCTGGTGCATCTGCCAGCACTGACGGCAAACTGCAGTCCAAACATGGCGTTCAGCATGGTGGATTTCCCAGAGCTCTGAATCCCTAAAACTGACAACACATAGACCTTCTTGTCTCCCAGTTTCTGGATGAGTGCATCAATAACAGCAGTAACCCAGATCAGAGGAACATGGGCAGCATCACCATCCATCAGCTCCAGTGGAAATCCAGAGATCATCATCTCTGCTGCAAGACTTGGAAGAGAGGAGAAGTTAAACTTCAGGTCTTTTTTGTTTTTCTTTACTGATGAACATGATTCGTGTATCTGACCGATCTCTCTCAGTATGTGCTCCAAGCCAAAAGTTGCAGCTTGTAGTTTCTCAGATACTTTCTCAAGTTCGTCTTGTGCTTCTGTCATTTGCTTCGATTTATCATGTTTCTTTTTAAGATTTAGGACTGTTGACCATTTTTCATCATACTCATGATGAAGGGCTGAAAGACTTTCAGTAGTGTAATTGTCTAGCAGGATGCCCAGCCATTTCAGAAAATATGCCTCCTCATTTCCTAGGGGTGAATTCAGTTTTTGAATAAAGATTTTCATAAACTGACTTAGGTCAGATGTTTGCTGCAGTTCACGGATTTTCTGCATTTGTGATTTTTTGGAACTTTTGTTCTTTTCAATGTTGCTTCCCTTATGTAGTTCTCCTAATGTAGGTCGATAAAGTTCTTTATTTTTCTGGCACCACTGATGCCACAGGTTTCCCTGGCATGGCAGGAATGATTCTTTGATTTCAGTCAGATCTTTATCCTTCAGTAAATTTATCATCTGCTGTGCTGCTTCTTTTCCTTTCCTGCAGTCATCATCACTGACCTCATCCACTCTGACATCGTTGTTTTTGGACACATCTTCAAGCTTAAAGAAGGAACATGATTCAGTAGACAAGAGTCCATTATTTATAGCTCTTCTGATTTCTTCAAATACAACTGACTGATTTCTGCCTTTCAAACCAATTTTGTATTTCCCTTTCCGCATTTCTGTCAGAGCCGAATCATTGTCAGTAAGAAGGCAGATGAGTGGCTTTGAGTCCTTGTAGAAGGTTTGGATCTTGGTCATGCTTTTGTCATTCTTGTTAAGTTGTGGTAAAATAGCAACATTTACAGAGGCCGTTTCAGTCAGGATACCCAGCTGTTTTGCATGGGCTCCTGCATCACCATGGAGGTTACAGAACGCAACACAATGAGTAAATCTGTCTGTTTTCTCTCCAGATGGACAGTACCAGGCGATCTCCACCACTCCGTCCATCAGCACTCTGGTTCTGCTGCTGCCTGGGCAGTTCCTGTGGAAGAATGTGTTGTGTTTCTCATTGATCAGGCTGTTCATCAGCTGAGACTTGGATGAGGATGCAGGACCAAACCTGAAGAAAGCCACCATTGGGGTTTCTGCTTTGTAGACTGGCAGGAATTTGCTAGAGATTTTACCTGTATCATCAATTGTCTTCCAGCTCTTGTTAATTTGTCGAAATGTCCAGAGTGGGAACTCAATCTGTTGTGTGAATGGATTTGGTACAAGCAGAGGCAGAGCATACTGACACTGTGAGAGTTTAGTCACCATAAGCTGCTTTAGGAAACTATCAGCACAATGAAACACAGCCATCTGAACATCCATTAAGTGGACTGCATCTAATTTGTTTGTTTCATCTGAGGGTTTAGCAGTTTCTCCAAAAATATTATCATAGGCATCAGCATCATCTTCAGATGAGTCATTGTTCCTTTGTTGTGTGTGTTGTTCATTATTCTCTATAATCTGAAGGTATCTTGCTCTGTAGTCCATCATCATCAATTTCTGTAGAAAAACTGGAGCCAGCTGCTCTTCTGCACAAAACTCTTGGGACTGTGATTGTACAATTGGCTTAAGGAAATCTACAGTTCTCAGTTTGCCTTCAAGATGAAGCCTCTCAATGAGTTGCTGTGCACCTAGCTGAAAAATACAGTACCATAAAATAGAATAGTTGAAAAGGAATGTTAATTTGTACACGTTTTTGAAAATGTAATACATTAAAAGCATATCACAAATATGAATATGCTCCCTGATCTCACTGTTACGTGTATCGGTATGTAACATTTGAAGGTATTATTTATTTACAGCTGTATAAACATAAAATCTATTATATCATAAATATATCTGAGGCTCCATTTTTAGATATATTTTAGATCCCTTAACCCTATACCCAAAACCAACCACTTTTAAACAATCTAAAAAACATAACAGGCAGATAAATGGACAGTGACAATTATTTTAGTTATAATATAGGCCTACAATCCACCTTTTTCATGCCCCATGACGCTTTGCACAAATTATGGGAGTAACTTCCGTTAAACTGTGTAGGTACAATCAGGTGACATTGTTCTACTCACCCTTCATCCATCGATCATTAAAGGAAATTTAAAAGTGTGAATGAATTAACAAATTACTTTCAGCAGACCACAAATAACTCCAAAAGCTTTAATAAAGATTATTTCTTCAGCAATACTACGGATCGCTGTGGTGAGACCTGTGTACACACAGGTGGTCTAATGTTGTTCTTCCCATTTCGTAAGTCAGGGAAGGGCTGTAACATAATCTCATTGATTATAAATACTATAATATAATCAACTGATTAATTACATTAATTAATAGATATTAAATATTTATAGATTCAATAAGGATTAATTTTTGTACATCACTAAGTTGTTTATATGCAAAACTTTTTTTGATGCTATGCAAATTTTAGAAGTCTATGCAAACATAACTGCATTCAAAAATAAAAATACATATGAATACTTTTGAGATCATAGTGTAATAGTTAAAATATGAATAACGCTCTGAAAAAAAAGAAATAGGCCTGTTAATTCTGCATATAAGTTCTTACCTTTTGTTTGTCTCCTTTATCAGTTTGGACCAGGCTCCCCAAAGTCTGTGCATTAGTGTCATCGATGCTTACTGTTTCTGCATCTTGATTTTATGAAAACAGAGGAAAAGATTAATTAGTGGTCATTTTAAGAGAATTGAAAAAAGCGCAACCAAACTTTAGATTCAAGTACAAATGGATGTGTGCAGATTCTTTTGAACATTCAGCGTGACTAACATATATCGATTCACTAACAAATGCCATAATAAAGCGGTAACATTCAATTATGTCTTGCAACTTGATATATATGATTTCAATATCATTAGGATACATCAAAATTAAAGTGACATTTAATGATCTTTAAGTATTTCGGAGATTAAAGATTTCTTTACAGACTGATTAAAATGTATTAAACTCATTGAAAACTAATGAATTTTTATCCACTTTTTTATTACCACAAGTGAATCTATTAAACTATTTACACAGATATTAATCTATAAGGCCTTAAAGCAGCGACGAGCAACTCTGCTATTTTTCAGAATCAACATCTGACTCTGGACTGGACTGAAGCTGTAATTACTTTCAGTGATGATTTCAGTGATTACTTTCAGTCTGTTTGACTGTTTTGTAAAGCTTGATATTAATACATGATTTTCTTTAAACAATATATGAAGAGTGGGCGGGGGCTCCCCCGTAAAACAATGTCTGTGTGCTTGGACCACACTTACCAATACCTACAAATACTAATGTGATCATGTTAAATTAAAAAAAAATATATAGAGGCATAATTCCACAAAAAACTTCCATAATATTTATAATATTTGAATTTATTGCAGTATTATTTTTGAATCTTTATTTAAAATGTTGAAATGGAGTTGTGGTAAATGTATAAGCCAAAAATGAACAGAAGCTGTGTTACCACTTTGATATTCACTGTTTTGCAGGTCTCTCAAAGAGCGGTACATCTCTCTGGTGTAGCACTGCTGATTATTGTCAGTGAACAGACACTTGATTTTGTCCATCAATTCTCTCATCTCTGATTTTTTGTTCATGATCTTGCTGCAGGTATGATATCTTCCTCCACATTTCTTCAGCAGCTGCTCCAGAACACAGTTGTTCTTCAGGTCATCTATTACAGTGTCACACTCTTCCTCTCTCTCATAGGTCAAGACAATAATCACAAATGAAAGAACTCTGTCACCAAATATTCTCTGTAGCCATTCAATGCCCATCTTATCAGCATCTGTTAACTGGCCCAATCGCACAACAAAGATGAAGGCATGGATTTCATTTTCATTCACTAGTTGACAAAAAACATGACTGAGAGGTTTGAGATCAGTCTCATGTGAGCCAATCATGTTGATCACTGAGACACAATGTTCTGATATCTTCCTCTCTTGAATGATCATTGGAAATTCTGCATTTTTACAACAGAGTTGTTTATCTCCAAGTAGAACGTTGTCACATCCAAACTGGACAGCATCAGAGCTTCCAAATATTGCAACAGTCAAATCAGGATCACCGTGATCTAAAATAAACAACACAGAGCTGTTCTCAAACTCAGAGAATGTAAGAACACACCACAATATATGTTAATGAAATAGTGCTTCTTATACAGTTCTGTCATGAAAAGTTTAGCATGGTAATATACATGACATTGTTAATGTGTTTGGTCTTGGTGGAATTGATCTGCAATGCTTCTGCTGCTGCGGCAGAACAAGTACCATGACTTGCTGCCAATACATCCACAGACATGCTGCTGTGAGCATGTAGGAAATACTGCTGCAGCACATATAACATATGAAATAACCCCACATATTTACCATACATGAAATAATCCCATAGCAGATCTATACAGGTAGACTGGGGAAGGTGGAGGGTTTCTGACGTGCGCTGCAACTGCTACAGCAAGTACTGGCTGAGTTTTTCAATGTTGAGCAGCAAGCTCATTGGCTGCTGATGCAACTAGAACCAGTCAGCTGCACCATGTGAATAATGATGTGAATATTTCAGATTGAGTTAGAACCTATAGACCTGTGCCATCTAGAGTGTCATGACAGAACTTTGCACTAGTTGCATTTCTTACCTGTGTTGTTGTGAGATGAATCATCAAAGCCTGAGCACACATGTGCTACGTTTGCATTACCATCAGGTTTCGGGTTACTCCCTTCATCTACTGGTTTCACATTATCCTGGAGAGATAACAAGAAATGATCTGTTTCTTATTACAATGATTTTTAAAGGTTGTTTAATTGTGCAAGAGTAAAACTGTGTATGCATCTGAACATCACACTTGTATGTTTATTCTGCATCACTGCTTGTTACTACAAAGACTGTAGGTGAAATAGCCAAACCTTTGAATTAGAAGGACAATTTCTAGAACATTGGGCCATGTAGCGTATGTAAAGTGAGGCACACTCTTAAAAATAAAGGACCTTTACTTGCATCGATGCTTCCATGAAAGGTTTAACATCCAAAGAAACTTTCCATTCCACAAAAGGTACTTTTTTAATCCAAAAAGGTTATTTAGATTAAAGGGGTCATATGATGTTGCTAAAAATAACATTATTTTGTGTATTTGGTGTAATGAAATGTGTTTATGCGGTTTAAGGCTAAAAAAACACATTACGGTACATTATTGTTCTCCTCTATGCCCCGCCTTTCTGAAACGCGTAGATTTTTAAAATCGGTCTCAAAGCTCATCGGTCTGAAAAGCGAGGTGTGCTCTGATTGGCCAGCTATCCAGTGCGTTGTGATTGGCCGAATA